AAGAATTGATGCTTTTGAACTGTGGTGTTGGAGAAGACTCTTGAGAGTCCCTTGGACTGCAAGGAGATCCAACCAGTCCATCCTAAAGGAAATCAGTCCTGAATATTCACTGGAAGGACTGATGCTGAAGCTAAAACTCCAGTTCTTTGGCCACCTGATGTGAAGAACTGACTCATTTGAAAAGACTCTGCTGCTGGGAAAGATTGAAGGTGGGAGGAGAAGGGGACGACAAGGATGAGATAGTTGAATGGTGTCACCTACTTAAGGGACAGGAGTTTGAGTAAACTCCGGGGGTTGGTGATGGACAGGGAGGCTGGGTGTGCCTCAGTCCATGGGGTCACAAAGAGTCGGACACGACTGAGTGAACTGAACTGAATATTTAATAATGTTGAGCACTGTTTTATATATCTGTTGACTATTTGTATGTCTTTGAAGAACGTATATTCAGCCCCTCTGTTTGTTTTTTAAGTCAGTTATTTATCTTTCTGCCATTGAGTTGCATGAATTCCTTATATATTTTGGATATTAACCCCTTATCAGATGTGTGTGTGCCTTCGTGGATGCTCAGTTGCTTCAGTCGTGTCCAGCTCTTTGCGACCCCGTGGACTGTAGCCCATCAGACTCCTCTGTCTATGGGATTCTCCAGGCAAGAACACTGCGAGTAGGTTGCCATGCCCTCCTCCAGAGAATCTTCCTGACGCAGGGACAGAACTCGCATCTCCTGCATTGACAGGTGGATTCTTTCCTGTTGAGGCACCAGGGAAGAGTTTGCAAGTATTTTCCCCCACTCCACAGGTTCTTTTCCGTCTCCTGATTGCTCCCTTTGCTGTACATCTTTAGTTCGACATAATTCTGTTCCCTAGTTCTGCTTTTGGTGTCAGATCCAGTAAAACTAATGCCAAGACCAAGGTCAAAGAGCTTTCCTGATATGTTTTCTTCTAGCAATTTTATGGTTTCAGGTCTTATGTTTAAGTATTCAATCCATTTTGAATAGTTTTTGTATAGTGCTTTGTGAGATGAAGGTCCAAATATTTTGTATTTGAATAGTCATTTTTATCCAAAACTGAGTATTGCAACACCATTAATTAAAGAGACTATTTGTGCCCCACTGTGTGTTCTTGGCAACTTTATTGAAGATCTGAAGATCAATGCATTTATTTCTGACTCTCTATCCTGTTCCATTGCTCTATGTCTGTTTTAATGTTGGTTCCATACCAGTGTTACTGCTATAGATTTTGAAGGATTTTTTTTTTTTCCCATCAAGAAACGTGATGGTTCCAAAATTGTCTTTTCTTGCTCAAGTTTGAATGGGCTAGTCAGGTCTTTTGTAGTTTCATCTGAATTTCAGGATTTCTTTTCTATTTCTGTTAAAATGCTATGAAATTTTGATAGGGATTTCATTGAATTTGGGGAGAAGGCAAAGGCACCCCACTCCAGTACTCTTGCCTGGAGAATCCCATGGACTGAGGAGCCTGGTGGGCCGCAGTCCATGGGGTCGCTAAGAGTCAGATACAACTGAGCGACGTCACTTTCACTTTTCACTTTCATGCATTGGAGAAGGATATGGCAACCCACTCCAGGGTTCTTGCTGGAGAAGCCCAGGGACGGGGGAGCCTGGCTGGCTGCCATCTATGGGGTCGCACAGAGTCGGACACGACTGAAGCGACTTAGCAGCAGCAGCAACAGCATTGAATTTGAAGATTGTTTTGGATAGAATAGAAATTTAAGCAATATTAATTCACCCAATCCATGAACATGGGGTATTGTCCCATTTATGTCTGCCTGTGATTCCTTTCTTCAGTGTTTTATATTTTCCAGTGCACAGATCTTTCACCTCTTCGGTTAAATTTATTCTTAAGTATTTTCTCTCTTTGATGGTTTTATAGATAGGATTGCTTCTTAATTTCTTTTTCAGATAGTTGGTTTTCAGTATATGGAAGTGCTATTGATTTTTTAATGTTGATGTTTGTACCCTGCAACTTTATTGAATTTGTGTGTTGGTTCTAACAGATTTTTGGTGGAGTATTTAGGATTTTCATTTAAACATCTATTTTACTTCTTCCTTTCTGATCTGAATGCCTTTTGTTTCTTTTTTCTTGCCTCATTGCTCTGGCCAGTGCTCCCAGTCCTGTGTAGAACAGGATTGGTAAGAATTAGCATGCATGTCTTATTTCAGATCTTACAGGAAAATCTTTCAGCCATTCACCACTTAAGGGATGTTAGCTGTTGGCTTGTCATAAATGGCCTTTACTAAGTTAAGGTTCATTCCTTCTATAGCCAGTGTATTGGGACTTTTTATCATGAAAGGATATTAAATTTTGTCCAGAGCTTTTTCTTCATCTATTGAGATGATAATATGATCTTTATCTTTGTCTCTTAATGTTGTATAATTTATTGATTTGCATGTGTTAAACCATCCTCGAATCCCAGGACATATTCACCAGACAACTGTTTTTAAAAAACTATTCCCAATACCACTATTACCCTTAAAATAATTTCTTAATATTGCCAGATACCAAGTGTTCAAATGTCTACATCAGATACGACCATCTATTTTTAAAGTACTGTTTGAAATCTATTTTAAAATTACTCTCATACAAAATCTGCATAAACTTGTGATCTTGTTGAATGCAGTTTTTGCTTTTTACTGGATACACACTGCCCTTGGCGGTGGCAAGGCTGCTCAGGGTTGCTGGAAGTTTTGAGGCAGGGTCTCTAGGGACTTCTATGATACTTTTGTCATTGTTGGTCAGTCGCTCAGTCGTGTCCGACTCTTTGCGATCCTGTGGACAGTAGCCTGCCACACTTGCCTGTCCTTCACCATCTCACAGATTCT